CAGCGCCGATCCGAGAAATCCGCGCGGACCACCGAGTTGTTACTCCAGATTTCGTAATAAAAGGGAGGAGGTCTCATTTCGGGGGGGGGTCTCTTCCAGGCTATCTTGGAGGGCCTGGGGGGTCTGGGGACGATGTTTTGGAGGGTTCTCCCACGGGGGGGGGTCTGAAATGGCTTGTCTTGGAGATTCCAGACCCCCTCCCTTTTATTACGAATTCTGGAGCATGTTTATGTAACTTTTTGTTCCCCTATCCTCTGGCGAATGCCGCAGCACTCGCCCGCCTGCCAAGGGCGCTCCGCGGCGGCCCGAGAGGCCCCCGAGACGGTCCAAGAGGGACCCGGATCGCCCGGCACAGCCCGCAGGCGGCCCCTGACGCCGCGAGCACGACCTGGGCGGCGAGCCAGGGGGGGAAGTGAGAAGGTGCGTGCCTTCTCAAAGGCTCGGAAGTCCCCCCGGACTTCCGAGAAGTTTTCTACGATTCCCCCGAAGACAGAAGAAGCTTCTCAGCAGGCGCGAGGGCATCTGAGAAGTCCCGCCGCCTTCTGAAAAGGCCTCCTCCTTCTCAACTCCCCCCCATCGCTCGCCGTCGACAACCCTAAACCCACCCTCTCGCTTTCATCTGCACCGCCATCACCCTGGACGCCCCCACAAACCATAGGATATAAGTATACAAGGTAGCTTGTAAGACATTGGGTTGTTTAAAAATCTTCGATTTTTTTATATATATATATATATATATATATACAAAGGAAAAAATCGACACTCAAGGGGGATCGGCGGATGTGGCGCAAGCCCTTGGAATCATAGCCAACAATGTGATTCCACGCAACAGTTGCACGGATGGGGACGATCCTTGTTCAAAACAAACAGATCCCTGGGTACCCACTTGATCTGGGCGATGATACCCTCGTTTCGTTGCCTACGCGATACGCACCAACACAAACACAAACGCAAACACCTACATACATACATACATACATACATACATACATACATACAGACATGAATGCATGCATGCATGCATACATACCTGCATATAGGTACATACATCCATCCATACATACATACATACATACATACATACATACATACATACATACATACATACATACATGCACACACAGCACCACGACGCACGCACGCAACAACTCACGCACGATCGCGCACCGAACAACACACACACACACACACACACACGCACACGCACGCACACACACACACACACACACACACACAGACACACACACACACATACCAAAAAAAACATACACACACACACACACACACACACACACACACACACACACACACACACACACACACACACACACACACACGCACACACACGCACACACACACACACACACACACACACACACACACACACACACACACGCACGCCCACGCCCACGCCCACGCCCACGCCCACGCCCACGCCCACGCCCACGGCCAGACGCCCACACCCACGTCCAGACGCCCACGCCCAGACGCCCACGCCCGCCAGGGAGCGGACCACGGACGGCGAAAACTTGGCCCAGGCTCCCAACGCGGGAGCGCGCCTCTCAGCCTGGCCGCGCTCCGCTGCGGGTTGCGGGCCCAGCAGTTCCACATCCGAGGCTGGGTCGACCTCGCCGCCGTCGGTCGGCAGGTGGCTGTCACCCCAGCACTCCCGCGGAGACGGCACTGGCACCGCATGCGCCAGCGGGAGCATGGCCTCGACTGCCGCCACTTGCCGCATCGTGGCCTCCCAAGCGCTGGAAAAGTTGCCCGCCGTGTGAGCCGTCGGCAAAGTAGAGTGCGCAGCTGCACGAAGAGCCCACGCATGGCCGCGAGGTCGTCGCCGGACACATGGTGGCGTTCCTGGTTATCCCTAGCCTCCGCAGCCGCCGCCTCCAGGTTGGTGAGCCGCTCCTTCGCCGACTGCCGCTGCTCCTCTGCCAGCACCAGCTTCTCCTGCGCCGCCTGCAGCTCGGCCTCGGCGTCGCCGACAGCCTGGCTGGCCTCCTCGAAGGCCCGCCGCGCACTCGCCGCCTTCCGCTCGGCCTTGCTGGCGGAGTTGGCCTCCCTGCGGAGCTTGGCAGCTCGCGAGAGCCCTGCCTGGTTCTCCACGGCCAAGGACGCGGCCAGCTCGTCGCGCTGAGCTCGGAGGGCCGCCAGCTGCTCCTCCACCAGCCCAGCATGGCCTTCGCCCAGGCTGGGGCAGCCCTCGACGTACCCGATGTCTCGCTACAGCGCACCCAGGCGCCCGCTGGCGCCCGACACCGAAACCCCGCCTGAGCCGCCAGCTCTCTCGGCGAAGCCTGCGTCCGAGCCGTTGCCAGGGGCTGCAGCCGCCGCGGCCGCCGCGCGGGCCTTGCGTCGCCCCTTCTTGCCCTTGCCAGGCCGCACCCAGCCCTGCTCGTCCACTACAGGCTGGGCGGCTGCGTGACGCACGGCCCAAAGCGGCGCCTTGGCCTGGCAGCCGATGCACGTGGTGCGAGAGCAGTAGTCCCACCAGCCCTTTGGGCGTGAGTGGTTTAGAAAGCCCGCTCTGTTCTCAACCCCCCTTCTTCCCCTTCGGGGAGGGGTTTACCCCTCCCCCTACCCCCTCCCCCTGGACCTGGAGAGGGAGTTCCGCGGGTCGTCAGGGGTGTCTTTTTCGACGTCTGGGAGGGCCAAAAAAAACGACGACCCTCACGAGGATTCTGGCCCCGAGGGGGGGGGGGGGAGTTTGGTGCCTCAGCTCGTCTTTGAAGCAAAAATCATTGATTTGACTACGGTGTTGGCCCCATTTTGGCCTTCTGAGGGGGCCGCGTTCCCCTTCCTTCATAGCAAAATCATTGATTTTACGAAGGTTTTGGGCTCATTTTGGTCAAATCAGGGGGAAGCGCTCATTTGCGCTTCTGAGGAGGTCGCAAGAGGCTCCAAGATGGACCCAAGAGGCCCCCAGGAGGCTCCCAAGAGGCCTCCAGGAGGCCCCCCAGAGGCCCCCAAGCCCCGGCCCCCCCAAGAGGCCCCCAAGAGGCCCCCAAGAGGCCCCCACGAGGCCCCAAGAGGCCCCCAAGAGGCCCCCAAGAGGCCCCCAAGGCCCGAGGAGGCCCCACGAGGCCACAAGGCCCCCCCCGCGGAGGCCCCCAAGAGGCCCCCAAGAAGAGGCCCCACGAGGCCCCCAAGAGGCCCCACCAGGAGCGCCGAAACGACTCACACCAGGGACGAGGGGCCCGAACGACTCACACCACGAAGAGCCCGAACGACTCACACCACAAAGGAGGGGCCCGAACGACTACACCAGGACGAGGCGCCCGAACGACTCACACCACGAGGAGCCCGAACGACTCACACCACGACGAGGGCCCCGAACGACTCACACCACGAGGAGCCCGAACGAGGCACACCAGGAGGAGGGCCCGAACGACTCACACCAGGACGAGGGGCCCGAACAACTCACACCACGAGAAGCCCGAACGACTCACACCAGGACGAAGAGCCCGAACGACTCACACCACGAAGAGCCCGAACGACTCACACCAGGAAGAAGGGCCCGAACGACTCACACCAGGACGAGAAACCCCAAACGACTCAAATCACGAGGAGCGCTTTCTCTCCCTCCTCCTCCGCCTCGTCCTTCTCCCGCTCCCCTCACAAGGAGGATGTACAAGGAGGCGGGAGGAAGGAGGAACAGGGGAGATATGCGAGGCCAAGCGGACACACGCCTGAAAAACACGACTGTCGGCATGCTTCGCGAGAGTTGCTGCTGTGAGATGGGCTGGTGGGGATACGCGAAGCGTAAAGAATTCCACTGCTTGCATGCACGGTTGGCGCAGACCCAGTACGCACCGTCGCCGCCGCGGCCGCCGCGAACACCAGCAGCGCCGCCAGGAGCCGCGGGAGGCACCATCCCACGGGCCCGCCGCCGCTCGGACCAGCGCCCGCACTCAACACATTAGTCGCTTGGCCCAAAGCGAGGCGACACTCGCGCTCAGAACGCCGCGGACGACTCGCGGTCGTCGGGCGCTCCATGGCCTTGAGCCAAAATGGCTACGGTAGGAACCCTTAGATAAGGAATCCAGGGGTCTGGAGACCGATGGAACTCCAATCGAGGCTTGGCCATGGGTATCTCCGCCGCCCCCATCCGATAATCCCCCAGGGGTCTGGAGCCTCCTGGGCACATTCCTTGACCAGCACCCCCACCGTGGTTCTGTTGACCAGGGCGACGCTGACAATGCTGATCCTGCGGAGCTTGCGTGCAGCCGTGACGCTGGCCCAAGAACCCTGGCCGGGCCTCGAACGGGCGGCGGCGGACCCTCGCCCGTCGTCGCCCGTCGTCGTCGTCGCACCAGTCGCCGCGGGTCGTCGTCGTCGTCGTCGTCGTCGTCGCCCATCGTCGTCGCCGTCGTCGTCGTCGTCGTCGTCGTCGGCGGCGTCGGCGTCGGCGTCGGCGTCGGCGTCGGCGTCGTCGTCGTCGTCGTCGTCGTTGTCCGTCCGTCCGTCCGTCCGTCCGTCCGTGTCCGTCCGTCCGTCCGTCCGTCCGTCGGTCCGTCCGTCCGTCCGTCCGTCCGTCCGTCCGTCCGTCCGTCCGTCCGTCTCCTCGTCGTCGTCGTCGACGTCGCCAGTCGTCGTCGTCGTCGTCGTCGTCTTCGTCGTCGTCGTCGTCTTCGTCGTCGTCGTCGGCGGCGGCGGCGTCCGTCGTCGTCGTCCGTCCGTCCGTCCGTCCGTCCGTCGTCCGTCCGTTCCTCGTCCGTCCGTCCGTCCCGTCGTCCGTCTCCTCTGTCGTCGGCCGCCGTCGCGTCGTCGTCCGTCCGTCCCGTCCGTCCGTCCGTCCGTCCGTCGACCGTCCGTCCGTCCGTCCGTCCGTCCGTCCGTCCGTCGTCCTCGTCGTCGTCGTCGTCGTCGCCCATCGTCGTCGTCGTCGTCGTCGTCGTCGTCGTCCGTCCGTCTCGTCGCGTCGCCGTCGTCGTCGTCCGTCCGTCCGTCCGTCCGTCCGTCGTTCGTCGTCCGTCCGTCCGTCCGTCCGTCCGTCCGTCCGTCCGTGTTCCGTCGTCCGTCCGTCGCCGTCGTCCGTCCGTCGTCCGTCCGTCGTTCCGTCCGTCCGTCCGTCTCCTCGTCGTCGTCGTGCCCATCGTCGTCGTCGTCGTCGTCGCCCATCGTCGTCGTTCGTCGTCGTCGTCGTCGTCGTCGTCCGGCGGGGCGGCGGCGGCGTCGTCGTCGGTCCGTCCGTCCGTCGCCGTCCGTCCGTCCGTCCTTCCGTCCGTCCGTCCGTCCGTCCGTCGTCGTCGTCGTGTCCGTCCGTCCGTCCGTACGTCCGTCCGTCCGTCCGTCCGTCCGTCCGTCCGTCCGTCCGTCCGTCCGTCCGACCGACCGACCGTCCGTCCGTCCGTCCGTCCGTCCGTCCGTCCGTCTCCTCGTCGTCGTCGTCGTCGTCGTCGTCGTCGTCGTCGTCGTCGTCGTCGTCGTCGTCGTCGTCATCGTCGTCGTCGCGGTCCCCGGACCCGCCCCCCAAGACCCCAGCAGACCCATTTTCCGAGCCGCGCCTGGCCGTGGCGACGACGAGGGTTCCCGAAGGCCTGACGACGAGGCTCGAAGCTCGAAGCGGGTCGAGAGGCCCGCGGGCCGTGGAACGACATCCGTCGAGCCCCTTCTGCTTTGCTCTGGGCCAGCCCGTCCCGGCACGCCGCCCCGGCGGCGGCGGCGACGACGGCCCTCCCCGGGGCAGACCTTTTCATCCTCGGTCCGCCGCTGACGCTCCCGAGGCCCGCACACGGCCCCTGGGGCCGAAGCTCGCCGAGCCCTCGGGGCTCCTCGGCGCGTGAGGTGGTTTCCCCACCCCCAGACCCCTCGCACGGGAGCCCAGTCCGACCGATCTGGGGGGGGCCCCCTCTGCTCAAGGGAGCGCCCCTCGGTCTGCCGCCAGAGCCCCCAGTAGCCCTCGGGTGGGCCCAACATGCCCAGGGGCAAACTTTTTCATCCTCGGTCCGCCGCTGACGGTCCCGAGGCCCGATCACGGCCCCTGGGGCCGAAGCTCGCCGACCCCTTGGGGATCCTCGGCGCGTGAGATAGCTGCCCCTCCCTAGACCCTCGCACCGGAGCCCAGTCCGACCGATCTGGGGGGGCCCCCTCTGCTCAAGGAAGCGCTCCTCGGTGTGCCGCCAAAGCCCCCAATGGCCTTCGGATGGGTCCAACATGCCCCGGGATGGTGCATGATGGTCCCTGGGACGCGTTCCGGAACCCTCTGTGGGCACCTTCGGGGCCGCCTTGGGAGCCCTCGGGGCCGGCCCAAGACCTGCCCCCCCGAGGCCCTCCAGCAGCACCAGCATCCGCAGCCGCAGCGACGATGACGACGACGGACAAAGAACGACGAAAACGACGAACGGCAAATGAGAAACGACAAACGACGAAAAAGACGACGACGACGACGACGACGACGACGACGACGACGACGGCGACAACGACGGCGACGACGACGGCGACAACGGCGGCGACGACGACGACGGCGACGACGACGACGACGACGATGATGGGCAGCGGGCAGCAGTGCAAGCAGCAGGCGCCACGCAGCAAGCAGCAGGGGCAGGTAGCAGAAAGTGGCAGCCGCAAGCAGGGGCAGAAGCGACGAGCAGCAAACGGCCACGGACGTTACCAATCAGCGGAGAGGATGGAAAGAAGGGGGATGAAGGGAGGGGAACGTGGGAGGAAGCAGGAGACGGAGGCAGCAAGAGGAGGACTCAAGGAAAGGGAGGCCTGCGGATTTGGCGCGAGACTAGCTCCTGAAGGCTCCCAGCACTTTTGGCGCCGAGCCGGCCCGAAGAAGTACGTCAGGTTCGTGTCGTGACGACCCCGGCGTTGGCTTCTGACTCCGCATGGATCGTTCAACCTGGAACGGTCGGCGACTGTGGATCGCTCGATCGTTCCATATAGGCCGATTCTGGGCCACTGGCGGCGTTCAGCCTTGAACGCCCGCGGCGGGGTCGCCGCCGGTCGACACGACGCGAACCTACCGTACCGCATGTTCGTGTCGTGTCGACCGCGGCGTTGGTTCCTGACACCGCGGGGATCGTTCAACCTTGAACGATCGGCCGTTCCCGCAACGTCCCATGGTTCAACATTGACCGACTCTGGGCCTCCGCCGGCGGCGTGCAACATTGAACGCCCGCGGCGGGGTCGCCGCCGGTCGACACGACGCGAACCTACCGTGTGCTCGGTACGCAGAGAAGGATGCAAGGGGCTGTTCCTCTTCTTCGAAACGGGGGCCTCGCCTCGCCTGAACGGCAGGCCCCTGAGGGGCTGGTTTTTTTTAGGGGGCGCCTCGTGCAGTGACGAGGGAGGCCTGCAGGTATTCCAGATTTCGTAATAAAGGGAGGGGGATCTCATTTCGGGGGGGTCTCTTCCAGGCTATCTTGAAGGGCCTGGGGGGGTCTGGGGACGATGTTTTGGAGGGTTCTCCCACGGGGGAGGTCTGGAATGGCTTGTCCTGGAGGGTCCAGACCCCCTCCCTTTTATTACGAAATCTGGAGTAGGTATTCATGAGGAGGGGACTTGGGGCGGGGGGCGGGCTTTGCAGCATCGCCGATGCAGATTTGGCTTACGCTGACCCACCTCCTCATCGTCCTCATCATCGTCACGAGCAACGTCGATATCGAGTGACGCATCAACACCGTCCTCGCAACCACCACCACCACCACCGTCATCATCATCGTTATCATCATCACCATCATCATCAGTATCAGTATCATCATCATCATCATCATCATCATCATCATCATCATCATCATCATCATCATCATCATCATCATCATCATCATCATCACCCTCATCCTCATCCTCATCCTCATCCTCATCCTCATCAGCAGCAGCATCAGCATCAGCATCAGCATCATCAGCATCAGCTTCATCACCAACATCAGTATCATCATCACCACCATCATCATCAACAACAACATCAACAGACTCATCATCATTGTCGTCATCATCATCAGCAGCAGCATTAGCATCGTCACCATCATCAGCAAAACCAGCTTCATCTTAATATGCATCACCACCACCATCATCAGCAGCATCAGCATCATCAGTATCATCAGCATCGAAATAATCATCAGCAACAACAGCATCAGTATCGGCATCACCATCATCAACAGCGTCATCGTCATCATCATCATCATAATCATCATCCGATTCACCGATCATCATCATCATCATCATCATTATCATCATCATCAGCAGCATCATCATCATCATCATCATCAGCATCATCATCATCATCATCACCATCACCATCATCCTCATCCTCATCATCATCATCATCATCATCAGTATCAGCATCGTCAGCAACCTCATCGGCATCGTCACCATCATCATCATCATCAGCAGCAGCAGCAAGCATCATCATCATCATCATCATCATCATCATCATCATCATCATCATCATCATCATCATCATCATCATCATCATCATCATCAGCATCATCATCATCAGCATCAACATCGCGACAATCAGCATCGCGGTCATCTTCACCATCGTAGTCATCGTCATATCACCACGACCATCACAACCGTCATCACTAGCGCCATCTCTCTGCCTCGACACCTCATCCTATCACCCCCATCCTCCTCCTCCTCTTCCTTCTCCTCCTCCTCTTCCTCCTCCTCCTCCTCCTTACCCCGCTCCTTCTCCACCTACTCCTCCTCCTCCTCCTCCTCCTCCTCCTCCTCCTCCTCCTCCTCCTCCTCCTCCTCCTCCTCCTCCTCCTGGCGGCGAGGGAGGTCCCTCTCCAGTCCCCGCCAGGTTGGACAAGAGGGCGAGCATCGGCATGACCGTAACGCTCGTGGTGAACATCATCAGGAAGCCAAAGCCGAGGATGAGCTCCATCGTGTCCTGCCCCCGCCCAGCTGCGGGAGCGGAGGGGGTGAGGAGTGGGGAGGGGGAGGGGTGGGGAGGGGGGAGGGGGCGGCCGAGGGGGGTGGAGAGAGGGAGGAGGAAGGAGAGGGCATGGGGCAAGAAGACGGAGGAGACGAGGAAGAGGGGAGCGGGGGAGAAGGGATCGAGGGTAGGAGAGGCAGGGGAGGAAGGGGAGGAGGGTCAGGGAGCAGGGAGCGAGGAGGCAGAAGAGCAGGGAAGGACGGAGGAGAGGAGAGGCAGAGAAAGAGGGGAAGGAGGTAGGAGGATGGGAGGAAGAAGGAGGGGGGAGCGAGGAGGGACGAGAAAGGCTAAGAAGGAGCAGGAGGAGGAGGAGGAGGAGGAGCAAGAACCAGAGGAATCCAGGATGCGTCAACTACATGCTGCAATCCACCCTCCCGTCAGAAGCCCTCCTCGGAAGTCCCTGCTGGCAACTTGTGTGGTCACACAACCCAGATGGCTCACGTGGTTGTCCAACCTGACGGTTCGCACAGCACGGGCTCTTATTCGGGGGTCTGGCGGGAACTCGAAACAGGAGCGGACCCTGGGCCTGCAATCCAGGGCTCAGAATTGAAAAGCTTGAGAAGGAGGCGCCATCCACCACTTTTGCACGATGTCGAAAGTTTGGCACAATGCTCCAAGATCGATACCAAGCTAAACTCACTGTTGCAAACGAACCGCCCTCCATCCTTGCATCTCATGGCAACGTCGAGTACGAATGGGCGCCGCGCCAATGCAAAAGTCACAATTTGAAACTGACTCGTCCTCCATTCGTGTAGGTGCTGGGAATGCTTTGGACGAATGTGGACGAGGCCAAGGCGACAGCCACATGTTGACTACCACCCGCAGTCCATCCTTACAACGGTTGGAAGCTTTTCAGGCGAATGAGCGCTGCGCTGAAGCTGAGGCGAGAGCCACATTTTGCAGACGGGACGCCATCCACCGCGGTCCAGCTGGTGAGAAGTTCGAGCCTCAGGATCACAATCGGTGAAGACCATCGGGCGAAACACCCGGCCCACCCTACCGATACGCCGATGGTGCGACGAGGAAAGGTTGTCCACAAGGCGGAGTGATGGAGGAGGGGAGGGGGAAGAGCAGGGAGCAGCAAGCGGGGAGCATCGACCGCAGCCGAGAGGCGCACATCCCAGCTCCACAACGCAGAGCAGCCCGTGGCGTACCGGGCAGCGGCACGCGGGACATGGCAGGAGAGAGTGTCTCAGAAACTCGGGCTGCGCGCAGCCAGACAGGTACTCCAGATTTCTTAATAAAGGGAGGGGGTCTCATTTCGGGGGGGTCTCTTCCAGGCTATCTTGGAGGGCCTGGGGGGGTCTCGGGACAATGTTTTGGAGGGTTCTCCCACGGGGGAGGTCTGAAATGGCTTGTCTTGGAGGGTCCAAACCCCTCCCTTTTATTACGAAATCTGGAGTACCCATTTCGCTCGTGCTGGGCGGTACGGGTACCTCTTCCTCCCTCCTCCTCCTCCTCCTCCTCCTCCTCCTCCTCCTCCTCCTCCTCCTCCTCCTCCTTCTCCTCCTCTTCCTGTGAGCCTGAATGGCAAGGTTCTTCAAGAGCCTGCACGGAGGGAGGGCGCCTCGGCTTCCGAAGGCGGCGCTCGCACGCCCAGCAGCTGCAAGGATCGCAGGCGGCGCGTTTCCAGTGTTGGAGGCCTAGAAATGGGCACCAACACCAACACAAGGGGTTGCCTCCACAGGGGGAAGACGATCCTCGATTTCGGTGTTGGTGGCAATATTTCGGCCACCTTGTATGCCAGAATATCACCACCATCACCGAGATCGGGATCTTCCTCCCTCGGTGGATGCACACCGGCGATATTGGTGTTGGTGTCAATCTCTAGGCCTGCGACAGTGTGGCTCTCGCCGTCGCACTGCGCACAATCGACGCAGCGCATGCCAGCAGCCAGAAGGATGGAGGGCGGGTCGTCGCGTCAGCGCCGCGAACATTCGTCTCAGAAGACCGGCGGCTATGAGGATGAAGGGTGGGAGGTCTTCAAGATGTGGTCTTCGCATCTTGGCGCCAAGCATCTGTGTCCCGACAGTCACTGCGATGCAGAGGAGTCACTCGCAAGATGGGGCTCTCGCTTGAGACTTCATGTCCTGACAACTAACAGCCTGTGCGGCGGTCACACTGACGAAGGGCGCGTCTTTTTCAGAATGGTGCTGCCGCTTGAGATCTCCGCAACCTGTACAATCACACACGTGTGATACGCGCAACCGATTCACTTATCGAGGGCGATGCCTTCTCACTCCAGCGGTCTACATGGACCGTTCTTCCAACTAGATCGTCCTACCCACTCCTGCTTCCTGTAGCTCGGAGCATACAAGGCAACTGCATTTCCAATCTGGACTGCCGCCTTCAAGGTGGGTCGATGGAGCGCTCGTCATTCAACGAACTGTTTCCCGTGATGAAGCAGAATGGGTGTACGGACCAATGTGAAGGGGGGGCTTGGGACGGAAGGGTGCGTTGCAGCAGCGCTGACGCACTTTCAGTTTACATTGCTCCTCCTCCAACTCCTGCTCGTTCTCGTTTCCCTCCTGGTCCTGCTCCCTCCTCCTCGTCCTCCTCCAGGTGAACGATGAGGGGGGGATAGAACTGCGTGCAACAGCAGAAGTGGACGGGCACACCGACGAAGGAACGCGACGAACCGACTCCCGACATGGGAGGGGACGGCTTCGCGTCCTCGATGTCGTCCTCGTAGGGAGGGCTGTAGGCCTGCACGGCACGGCTTCCTCCCCAATATCCTCCTGCTCCGCTTCCTCCTCCCCCTCCCCCTCCTCCCCCTCCTCCTCCTCCTCCTCCTCCTCCTCCTCCTCCTCCTACTACTACTACTACTACTACTACTACTAACTACTACTACTACTACTACTACTACTACTACTACTACTACACTACTACTACTACTATACTACTACTACTACTACTACTACTACTACTACTACTACTACTACTACTACTACTACTACTACTACTACTACTACTTACGACGACTACTACTACTACTACTACTACTACTACTACTACTACTACTACTACTACTACTACTACTACTACTACTACTAACTACTACTACTACTACTACTACTACTACTACTACTACTACTACTACTACTACTACTACTACTACTACTACTACTCTACTAACTACTACTACTACTACTCTACTACTACTACTACTACTACTACTACTACTACTACTACTACTCCTGCTACTTCTCCTCCTCCTCCTCCTCCTCCTCACCTGCCTCTCCCTCCCCCTCCTCCTCCTCCTTCTCCTCCTCCTCCTCCTCCTCCTCCTCCTCCTCCTCCTCCTCCTCCTGGCCCGCCTTGTCCTGATCCTCCTACTCCTCCTCCTCCTCGTCCTCCTCCTCCTCCCTCCTGTTCATCATCAGCATCAGCATCAGCTTCACAATCAGCATCATAACCATAATCAGCATCATCATCATCATCATCATCATCATCATCATCATCATCATCATCATCATCATCATCATCATCATCATCATCATCATCATCATCATCATCATCATCAGCCTCAGCCTCAGCCTCAGCCTCAGCCTCAGCATCATCATCAGCAGCATCATCAGAAGCATCCGCATTTTCCTCCTCCGCATGTTCATCCGCAGCATCGTCACCAGCATCATCATCATCATCATCATCATCATCATCATCATCATCATCATCATCACCATCATCACCATCATCATCATCGCCACCATCACCACCATCAGCATCATCATCATCATCCTCCTCATCATCATCATCATCATCATCATCATCATCGTCGTCGTCGTCGTCGTCGTCATCATCATCAGCATCAGCATCACCATCAGCAATAGCATCGTCCTCCTCGTCGCCGCTGCCGTCGTCGTCGCCTGCTGCGTTGTCATGGTCATCGTCGTCATAGCCATCGTCATCGCCATTACCATCATCGTCCCCACCATCAACATCTTCATCATCACCATCATCAGCGTTACCGTCATCTGCCGAAGCAGCAGCGGCGGCGGCGGCATCAACATCATCAGTAGCAGCAGTAGCATCCTCATCATCATCATCATCATCATCATCATCATCATAATCATCAGCAGCAGCAGCATCATGAACAGCATCATCAGCAGCAGCATCCTCATACGTGTAAACCCCATCCGCGCCACCACCACCACCACCACCAGCATCATCATCATTGTCATCGTCATCATCATAATCATCATCATCATCATCATCAGCATCATCATCATCAGCATCATCATCATCATCATCATCATCATCGGCATCATCATCATCAGCAGCATCATCAGCATCAGCATCAGCATCGTCATCATAATCAGCATCAGCATCAGCATCTGCATCAGCATCTGCATCAGCATCATCGTCATAAGCATCATCATCAGCCTCATCATCAGAAGCAGCATCATCATCAGCAGCATCAACATCAGAATCCTTATCACCATCATCATAATCATCATCATCAGCAGCAGCATCAGCATTAGCATCGCCATCCGTATCATCATAACCAGCATCAGCATCATCAACAACATCATCATCATCAGAAACAGCAACATCATCAGCAGCATCGTCATCGCCATCCTCCCCTTCATCAGCAGCAGCAGCATCACCAGCACCGGCATCGACATCATCGTATCAGCATCAGCATCATCATCACCATCATCATCATCATCATTAGCAGCAGCAGCAGCAGAATCATCATCATCATCGTCATCATCATCAGCAGCATCATCAGCATCAGCATCAGCATCAGCATCATCATCACCATCATCATCGTCAGCATCATCATTAGCAGCAGCAGCAGCAGCATCATCCTCTCCACCCACATCATCAGCAGCAGCAGCATCAGCATCATCCCCATCATCAGCATCATCATCGTCATCAGCTATCAACATCAGCATCAGCATCAGCATCATCATCAGCAGCATCAGCATCAGCATCATCATCATCATCATCAGCAGCAGCAGCAGCAGCAGCACCGGCAGCATCATCATCAGCAGCAGCATCATTATCAGTAGCATCATCATCATCACCATCATCATTACGCCTGCGCATCCTGCTGCCCTCCCTCAACGTCCTCCTCCTCCTCCTTCTCCTGCTCCTGCTCCTCATCCTACTCCTCTTCCTACTCCTCTTCCTACTGCTCCTCCTCCTCCTCCTCCTCCTCCGCCTCCTCCTCCTCCTCGTGCTCCTCCTCTTGCTCCTCCTCGCGTTCCTCATCATCCTCACCATCCTCATCCTCATTCTCCTCCGCCGCCTCCTTCTCCTCTCCTTCCCATCCTCCACCTACTCCACGATCTCCTTTTCTTCTGAATAACTCTTCCATGTTGCACCCCCAGACGTGCCGGTAGGGGGGGGCGTACGTGTCGCCTGAGACTTCCTCATTATTGGTGACGCTGGAACTTTAAATGTGCAACAGCTTCACGGATGGAGGGCGGGTGGATTTCGAAATGCTGTTCTCGCCTCAGCGCCCCGCACATTCGTCTGGAACTTTGAACACACTTAGTAGGATGGAGGGCAGCTGGTTTTCACAGTGTGGTTCTCGCCTTAGCGCCGCGCACATTCATTGTCAAGTTTGTAACAGTTTCTAGGATGAAAGGCGGTTCTACTTCAAAATGTGGTTCTCGCCGTAGCCCCACGCACTTTCGTCTTCCAATATTACAGCCGTTTGATGGATTCGAAGGGTTGGTATCCCAGGGATTGTGTTCTAGCACGATGTAGGACTCTCATGGCGCAATGGTCAGGTTGATTCGTGGCTTCAAATACCAGGAACTGTGGTCTGGCAAGAGCTCGGATTGTCTGACCACAACAGTCGCGTTGACTCGCGGCGCTGACGTCCCCCGAATGGTGGTTTGGGACGACTGCGGATTCTCAGACGGTTGTTTAGGGGCACTCCCCGCAAAGAAAATCTGTTCGTTCACAGGCCTGCGAGGAGGGAACTTGGCAGGACGGTGTACTGCAATATCGTCGCTCTGTAGATTTGCGCTGGTCTTCTCCATCCTCCTCCTCCTCCTCCTCCTCCTCCTCCTCCTCCTCCTCCTCCTCCTCCTCCTCCTCCTCCACTTCCTTCCTCCTCCTCCTCTCTCTTCCTCTTTCCTTCCTCCTCCCTCCTCCTCCTCCTCTCCTCCCCTCCTCCTCCTCCTCCTCCTCCTCCTCCTGTATGTTCCGTCCTCCTCCCGCTCCTCCCTCCTCCTCCTCCTCCTCTCTTCCTCCTCTCCTCTTCTCCGCCTCCTCCTCCTCCTGTGCCCTCCTCCTCCTCCTCCTCCTCCTCCTCCTCCTCCTCCTCCTCCTGTGCCCTCTCCATTTCCCTCGGCTCCTTCCCTCCCACTCCCCTCGGGGATCTACTGACCTGGGTCAATCCAGACCTCGGTCAGTCAGGCATTGCAAGATCCTACAAAATTCTGCGGGATCCTGCACGCTGACCTGGGTCAGTGCACCCCTGGCTCCGCAGGATCCTGCAAGATCTGGCGCTCTGGCTGACCCCCGTCTGCACTGACCCCCGTCCCTTGAGCCCCGAGCGCCAAGGGCGGCGCTGGAGGCGCCGCCGGGAGGGGGGGTGTCCGGCGCAGACCCAAGGAAGCCGCGCGGAGCGCGAAAAGCTTATGCTCCTGCCGTGGTTTCTGCTTCGACCCCCGCGCCCCTCCCCTGTGCTGGTGCTGGGAGCCCCCCCGGCGCCTCTCTGCTCCTGCGCCTGCCGCTGCCGCCAACTCCCGCCCCCCGTGCCCGTCCGGGGCTCCGCTGCCGGCCTCGTCCTCCCCCGCCCCCTTGGAGCACCCTCGCGTGCCCCCCCCCGTGGCCTCCCACGTCTGCACCTCCGCCGCCCTTCGTGTCCTCCTCCTGCCCCTCGTCCTCCTCCTGCCCCATCCGTCCTTCTGCCTCCCATCGCCTGCTCGTTCTCCCCACCCTCCCCATCCTCCCCCGTGCTCCTCCTCCTCCTCTTTCAGATTCATCCCTTCCCCATCCTCGCCTCTGCTTCCACCCACACAGCATCATACCCCTCTGCTCATCATCAGACATCAGACGACCACTCGTAACAGATATTGAATGGCAACTAATGCCCACGCCTCATCATCATGATAATATGTATCATGCCTCCTACTCCTGCCAGCCATGGCCATGGCAGCCGACCTGCAGCTCTGTGTGGTAGATCTTCTTCACGCCCTTTAGCCTGAAAAACGGCCGCGCAAGCTCGGAGAGGGTATATGGAGCAAAGGGAGGATTAACACATGCCCAAGAGACAGTGACTGGAATCATTCAGCATGGCGGACCAAACCTGACAAGTCAAGTCCACAAATCACACAAGCGGTGTGGCGCAGGTCACCGCATCTGGCTGGAACTCGTGAAGACCGAAAACGAAGTGATGACTCAGGTCATGATTGCGCTGGCCCCAAGAGCGACGGTAGAGTGAAACAGTTAGTGGGCACTCCCCAGTAGAGGGAAACAATTAGTGTGGACACTCCCCCGCCCCCCAAAACTCAAAGTTGGCACGCGCGGGCAAGACTGCGGTCGAAGTGCAATTCAGCCAACCCACCGCCAACATTGACCATTGGGGGGGGGCATTGACACATGAATGTGGCATGAGTGTTCGCAAATTTCTGCCGAGGCCTGGATGACATCAAAGTGACTCACCAGAGGTGGCAAGGGGCACCTCGCACGGGATGCCTCTGCTTCTCGACGGTTCCGCCTCGACCGAACACGCGGTCCCCTCCGCCCTCCGGGCGGCCAGCGGCCTACTGGGGGTGTGCATCACGCTCCTCCTACGCCAGTCCGTGCAACGCCTGCTCGCTCCCCGTGGTCCCAGCTCCGGCCCCCCGCTGGGCGGCAAAGCCTCTCCTCCTCCTGCTCCTCCTCCTCCTCCTGCTCCTCCTCCTCCTCCTGCTCCTCCTCCTCCTCCTCCTCCTCCTCCTCCTCCTCCTCCTCCTCCTCCTACCTCCTCCTCCTCCTCCTCCTCTGCCCCACCCTCCTCCTCTTCCTCCTCGTCGTTTTTCCCTCGTCCTCCTCTTCCTCCTGTCCCCCCCCCCTCAGACCGAAAACGCCGATGTGCACAAAACGCCGACCATGGTTAATGGCAGTGCTTGCATACAAGAACGAGGACTCCCAGTGGCTGGAGGTCGCCTCGTAGCCAAGACCGCCTTCGTCCTGATGAGGTCGAACAAGGTCATGCCGATCGTGAACCCCACCTGACAAGGCAGACCCACAGATCCTGGCGTCACAAAGCGCAGAACAATACAGGCGGTGAGTCTTTCCACAATGTCTGACTCTGGAGATCCGTGTCGCACCCCAGGAGGGGGTGAAGAAACTACGGCCAGGGAATATTGCGCAGCGTGTCGCGACGGCGGCAGAGGAGGGAGGGTGGCAGTGAGCAGGAGGAGGAGGAGGAGGAGGAGGAGGAGGAGGAGAAGGAGGAGGAGGAGGAGGTGGAGGAGGAAGAGGAGTGGAGCGGAGCAGACCGAGAGGCGCACGGGTGCGTCGGCCGCGCCCGCTGCCCTCAGCCGCCCGCGGGCGAAGCGGCGCGCCTCTGCCCGGCGCAGGGCCGAGGGCCCCCACCCACAGGGGAACGCGGTGGGTTCGACCCTCGGCCCGTGGTGAGGCACCACGGCCAGCGGCCAGGCCAGCAGCCCGCCCCGCGGGCAACATGGCCTGGCCGCCTCAGCCGCGCTGCCCGCGGCAGGCAGGCGGAGGCCCCGCGACCCGCTGCACCAGCTCGCCGCAGGACATGGCGGGCGGCGACGGAGGCGGGTGGGGCAGCCGCGGCAGCTGCGCAGGCGGCCGCAACGTCCCGCGCGGACGTGGTCCACGGCGCCGCATCGTTTCCTCCTTCGTCGCCTCGCAGGCCAGTAGCTCCTGCGGCGGCCCAGCCCGCAACGCCTGGGCCCTCGGCCAGCAGCGGCGACGGCTCGGAGGTCAGGGTGACCCGTCCGCCGCGCGAGGCAGGTGGCCTCGCCTCGGATTGGTCCAGCTCCTCGAAAAGCTCCAGCTGCTCCAGCTCGGCGTCGAGAATGACGTCGGCCACGGCGTGGGGTCGGGCACGGCGTCGGGCTCGACGTCGGGGTCCGCCCTGACCTCGACGGTGGCTGCCGTGATCAGCGAGCTCATGATGAGGGCACGCCTTGCAGCCGAGCTGGTCTCGTCGATACTCGGCCACCTCCCAAATGGGGGCGCTGCTCAGCTCAGTGGGCCCAGCAGCGGACGGGGTTCCCGCAGCTGGGGAGGGCGCACCGCCCCTCGGGCGAGCAGTGTCATTGAGGGCAGCCATCGCCAACCCATCTTCCGCAGCCGTCGACCCGTCTTGCTGGGCACCCCTGGCCTCGTTGCAACGCCCCCACGCCAGTCGCGCCAGCAACTCCTGTAGCGGCCCATCCAGCAGCGCCCCGACCCCCAGCCACAGGGCAGCGCGCGAGGGCCGCGGTGAGGCACGCGATGCCCCCCGCGCCCAGCTCGACGTCGCCCTCGCCCACGATGGCCTCCGAGGAGATCCAGCGCCCCGGAGTCTTTCTGCTCGGCGTCGAGCATGGCGTCGGGCCCCATGTCTCTGCCTGCATCGCCACGTCCCACAGCAAGCAAGTCACGCACATCAACTGCTGGACCTCCTAGGGTCGGCTCCGAGACGTGGGCCCTGTGATGGCAGTCCCCGCCACGACTAACCACTACGCCACCGCCCCCCCAGGCAAGGCCAGCACCGCCGCCATGTCCCGCAGCAAGTAGGCCACGCACCTCCACTGCAGGTCCCCCAGCGCGCAGGCTGAAGCCAGGCCCGAGCGCCTGCGCGGCAGGCGGCCACGTGCCACGGAAACGCCCGCGCCTGCCACCTTCGGCGGGAACCTCGAGCAGATCTAAACTCGAGCCATAGCCCGTGCGCACCACCTCGTCAGCCCCCGACTGGATGTCGCCCATGGAGCGGTCGCGTGGCCGCGCCTGCCTTGGGGAGGGGAGGCTCGGGGGGCTCCCAGAGCCCCCCCCCCCTGGCCATCGAGCCGCCCCTCGTGGTGATCGGAACCCGCCCACGCCACCCCTCCAGTAGCGGCACGCCCTCCGCGCCTCGCGCCAGCGGCAACCCCCTGGCGAGGGCTCGCGGCGCTCAGCGGACCCACGGGCATCGCGACCTCCACGCCATCCACAGCGTCCAGAACGACGCCGAGCTTGGGCCCACGCGGCGACGGCGAGCCTGGTAGCCGCAATGGCACATCAGGGCTTTGCGATCTGACGCCCGTGGCGACTGAGCCTGGCAGCAGCATTGGCACACCAGGACTTTGCGAACTGACGCCAGAGCACTGCTCGGCATCCTGAGCATCGTCGACGCCCCGACCGCCACGACGTTGCACCGACGACCTGCCGCGCGGGCTCCAGGGGACTCCGCCTGGCCCCTCGCCTGCGCGGCACCTGGATGACGTCCAGGGTTGCATCGTCGTCGTCGACGTCGCGATCGGCGATGTGCCCGTCATCGTCGCCGGGGCACAGGATGACGCCTGCCTTCGGCCAGTGCCCTTGCCGCAGTCGCTCGAGGTGCTCTCGCCCAGCTGGCGCGGCCCCTTGGCAAATGGCGAGCAGGCCCCGCCCGAGCGCACGCAACCCTGGCCAAGCATAGCAGCCACATGCCCGGCAAGCCCAAACACCCAAGGATACCTGCAGCTGCATCGAATGTGATTCGCGCACCTGCTGGTCGCCCATGTGCAACGAGGCGTCGGCTGAGGCAAGACGGGCCCAATCGTCACCACAAGCCACGAGCCCCTTGAATGTGCTGGCTAGCAACGCTGCTCGACTGGCGTGTCCTGCAGACGCGCGGCAGCTCCGACAGCTAATCCCGTCGCCGTGCACCGCGCGCGCGGAGCTGAAGGCGGTGGTCATGCCGATGGAGGGCGGGGCCACGCGTCGGCCAGGACGACGTCGGGGGCGACCGCGGGCCTCAGCGGCTGACGCGGCGTCGGTGGCGGCCCTCAGTGGCCGCCAACGGACCTGGGTCGCGAGCACTTCCGTGGTCGGAAGCTGCTGACGTACACCGCCGCCATGTCGTCCTCGATCTGCAGCGTGACCAGCTAATACATCAGCGATGGCGTTGCCCCGCAGCACTTCCTGAGATAGTCCTCGTGCCTGCGCCTCCTGAGGCGTGAGG